AGGGAACTTGTGGCAAACTGCTGCGCACACACAGGGGAGAACCGTGCCGCTGTTCAATGAGAAGGCTTCAATCTTAATGAACTCACCTAGGAAGACGCCCGTGAGGTGTTAAGTGGGCGATAACTACAGAAGGAGCTAACATTTTAAAACACTCGCTCTGTGTCAAGCACTGAATTAAGGCCTTGGTGGAGATTATTGCACTTAATTCATAATAACATTAGAAGTAGACACTATACCAAATCCTCATTTTACAGATGAGGAAACCAAAGCAACGATGGTTGAGTAAAACTTGCTTGTGGTCACATAACATGGGGTAGAAGAGGTAGCATTCCAACCCACTGGGCTGTAGATGAAGATACTTTACATCTGCACCAACTAAAGGGATACACGACGCATTTTACAAGTGGCTGTTTTGCTTTCTTCTTTACATGCTTGTGGTATTTGAATTTTTTTTCAATATGAGGTATTATTCTATAATCACAAGAACAAAAGTGCCTTTCCTGTGTTAAGGGAACAATTAAAGAAGGACCAGGGGCTTCCCTGGTGGCGCAGTGGTTGGGAGTCCGCCTGCCGATGCAGGGGACACCAGTTCGTGCCCCGGTCCGGGAGGATCCCACATGCTGTGGGGCGGCTGGGCCCGTGAGCCATGGCCGCTGAGCCTGCGTGTCCGGAGCCTGTGCTCCGCAACGAGAGGCCACAACAGTGAGAGGCCCACGTACCGCAAAAAAAAAAAAAAAAGGACCAAAGGAAAACTCACCCACCCTGCCCTCCTTCCCGGGATCCTGAGCTGCCACCACGTGGGATCACTAGGCATCAGTGCCAGAGCCGAGAGGCTGGGTACCCCAGCGGCCGCTGGGAAATGCAACCTGGAAGCACTGGCTGGAATGGAGTGCTTATTCCATGAATGAGTGTGACGATGTGGAAACATGCAGTGACCAGAGGGTAGAGCAGAGCCTGGACCTGGCAGAACTCAGGGTCCCACCAGAAAGCCATGGACACCAAGAGGGTGCCATCCTCAAGGCTTCTCTCCTGGGAGTTCAAAGAGGCCCGTGTGACCTGGGGGAGTCTCTGACCTTCCCTGGCTGCATCTCACCCTGGCTTTGCTCACACAATGACCCTGTTTGTCCCAGGCTCATGGTCTACATCAGGAAGGGAAGACTCTAAGGGGTTCAAATTTTCACTCCTGAAGCTCCTTACATCTAAAAGGCTGGAGGCTCCCCTAGCAGTCTGGTGGCTCTGGTGCCCACGTGCCCTGACCCTGAAAGGGTAGCTGGGGGTGGGGGGAGGGAAGGCTGGCAGATGCCAGGGTGGGGGCATCTCTGGAGGGCCTCGTGGACCCCGCGTCAGCGGAAGACCTTGCCCCTCCCTGCCTTCCCTCCTGGTCCTGGGGCTTCAGGAATGGCATTCACTCATTCATTCACTCATTTCTTCCTACATTCATTATTGCTAGAATTATTGAGTATTTACTATGCAGTCAGCACTGGGCACACGTCATCTCATTCGTTCAGTAACAGCCTTTTGGCATTGGTTCGACTGTCCACATTTTACATACAGATGAGGAAGGTAAAACCAGTCAAGGCTAAATAACTTGTCCATGGTCAACCAGGCTGTAGGTAATGAACCCAGATTCAAACCCTGGCCCATCTTATTCCAAAGTCCACCCGTAGGCAGCTCTGGGGGGGCAGTATCCCCAGTGGTTAGTGGGTCCAGGCCTCCACACAGCTCTGCCACTTACTGGCTATATTGTCTTGGGTGAGACTTCATTACTCTGGGCTGGGGTTTCCTCACCTGGCAAAGGGGGTTAACCATGGTCCTACCTTCCCGGGGACTGCGGGGGAGGGGGTCCAGCACTCAGAGCAGTGGTGGCCATACGATTATTACAGGCGTTCACCGTTTCACTCTGTACTGTCTGCCTCTATGCACTGCAATGCACATATTTATGGAGTATCTGGGAATACAAAGTGGAGTAAATCATAGGCCCTGCTCTTAGGGAGCTCAGTGTCTAGGTCATTTAAATCACCTGGGAAGCTTTTGAAAGACTCCCAATGCTCAGGCTGCACCCCAAGGCCATTAAATCAGAACCCCTCATTTGGCTGGGCTGTAACATCAGCATTTTAAAGCTCACCAGTGGTTCTGATGAACAGTCCCTTCAGAAAGGGCAGGACCAGTTCTTGAGCTTGGGAACCCTGGCTCAGGTCCCCAGGGGTTCCCTAGCAATGGTTAGTCTGAGTGGGGAATGGGGGAAGTGGCCTTACTATGGCACTAAATGAGTTAGGATTTATTGACGTATAATTTACATACAGTAGAATCCACCATTTATAAAATAGTTGTATGAGTTTTGGCCAAAGGTACAGTCACGCAACCACCACCACAATCAAGACATAGAACAGCTCTATCACCCCAAGAAGTTTCCCTGTGCTGCCCCTTTGTAGTCATCCTCTCCCCTCACCCTCTGGTCCCTGGCACCCACTGCTCTGTTCTCTGACCTATCGTTTTGTCTCTTCCAGAATGTCATATATTTGGAATCATACAGTACGGAGACTTTTGGGTCTGGCTCCTTTTACTCAGCCTCATGTATTTGAGACTCGTCCACGTTGTTCATGGACCAGTACTTTGTTCCTTTCCATTGCTGAGTAGTATCCCTTAAGTGGGTATACCGTGGTTTGTTTACCCTTTACCAGCTGAAGGACCTTTGGGTTATCTGTGGTTTGGGGCAATTATGAATAGTGCTGCTATGAACTATAAACATTCATGTTCAGGTTTTTTTTGTGGTCATGCATTTTCATTTCTCTAAGGTAAATACCTAAAATTGGATCACTGGGTCATATGGTAAGTGTATGATTACCTCTCTCAGAAACCGCCAAGCTGTCTTCCAGGGTGACTGTACCATTTTGCATTCCCATCATCAGCGATCAGAGTTGCCCATTGTGCACATCTTTGCCAGCATTTGGCACAGGCAGGGTTTTTGTTTGTTAAAACATTTATTTATTTATTTATTTAATTGGCTGCCCCAGGTCTTAGTTGCGGCATGCGGGATCTTTAGTTGAGGCGTGTGCACTCTTAGTTGTGGCGTGTAGGATCTAGTTCCCTGTCCAGGGATCAAACCCGGGCCCCCTGCATTGGGAGCATGGAGTCTCAGCCACTGGACCAACAGGGAAGTCCCTGTTTGTTTTAAATTTTAGCCATTCTGGTGGGTGTGTAGTGCTTACAAATTTTTAAGCTTATGAATGTATCAAAAATATCATGTTGTACATCTTTAATCTATACAATTTTTATTTGTCAATTATACCTCAGTAAAGCTGGCGGGAGTTTATGAATGTAATGAAATAAGGGCCTGTAATAGTAAATATTTTGCAAACATAATCATTTAAGGCCCTATTATGTGCCAGACAGTATCCTAATCCTTCCAAAATCCTAGGGGCAGCTGGTATCATGGGGAGGGCACCCATGACAGTCTAAAAGGCTCAAATCCCAACTCTGTGGTGGGCTTGCTGTGGGACGTTGGGCACATCACTCAGTGTCTCTGAGCCTCCATTTATTTATTGTAAATAGATTGAGCAATGCCCCCTTGCATGCTTGGTGTGAAAACCAAAGGAGATAATGCAGGGAAAGCTCCTGGCCCACAGGAGGGGCTCAACAGCTGGGAGTTGTTATTAGCTACGCTCTTTATGTAGCAACATTCCTGGGATAATTTGTTCCAGCAGCAAGTCTAGTTGCTTCTGCCTTCAGGATATATTCCAGATGGAGCCTCCTCGCACCCCACACCTCTCACACAGCCACCTCTCTGGTCCAGACCACCATGCCCTCTCTCAGTCGACTGATTGCAAGAGCTGCTCTCCGGCTCCTGCACTCATACACTCACCCCCTGGTGGTCGTACTCCAAACAGCAGACACAGGGGTTCTTTTCCATCTGAAACTCCCATCCAGGGTCCTGGTCCCAACCCTCCCGAGGCATCACGGTAAGAAGTCCATCTGATGCCTCCCTCCTACAATCCACCAGGCTTTCTGTGATCTGGCCCCTGGCTGCCTCTCAGAGCTCGTTTATTCATCTCTGTATCCCAGAACTTAGCACATAGTAAGTGCTCGAAAAACACCTTCTGGCCTGGATTCACACTAGCGCTGTCAGGCCACCAACATGGCAGGCATTATTTCTCTTCCATTGAGGTGACTGGAAGTCAGAGAGGTGCGAATGATGTGTGCAAGGTCATACGGCACTTCTGTGCACTCTCTCAGGGACCAGGACAAGGGTCTCCTAACAATGGCTGTGGCCTCATACCTTTGCCTTTTCCTTCTGGCTGCCTGTCTCTGCCCCATGACTGGACCCCAGGGCCCTGCTTCTTCCTGAAATTGGCCATGGTGGGAGTGTTCCTGCCATGGAAATTGGCAAATCAGCTCCCCTCTTATCCCTCATCCCCCAACAGAGGTCTGATTGTTACTTTTTGCCAGCACAACACTGTCCACGAAGTCTGGCGTCCTGAGGTAACTGAGTGAAGCCACCTTGCTCACCTGTCCACGTCTTGAGCTTGCAACCCTCAAGGTGACCCAGGTGCCTTTTCCATCTCTTCTCTCCTCTGCCTGGCCTCAGGCTTTATTCTGGGCCAGTTGCTAGCTGGCCTTCGGCCTATACACAGTGAACTTCTGCAAGTCAAAGGCCAAGGTGGAGGTGAGGGCACCTTCCTACTGGTGCTTCTGGCCTGACCCTGGCCTCTACCCGGTCACATCCTTTTTGTTCCAACTCCCTGAGCCACTGATATGCTGGAGCCATTTCTGCCTCTGATTTCTTCTCCTTACCCTCTTCTCTCCATGATTCTCTCATTTCTCATCTTTGGCATTTTAACTGTGTCTCTCTTTACCTCTGCGAATAAAAACAAGAGATAATTTTTTTTTT